GTATTCCTTATGGTCCCCTGAGCACCGCCAGGTCTAATTACTGAATATCTCCGGGTGCGGCCCCAAAACCAATAAAAATAAAGGAGACTCTAATGAAGGCCTGCCGTCCTCACTGACATACTCATACACACTTTCATCTCTCTGAAACACCTTCAACAGATTGTGTGATTTTTCATTTTCTTTTCTTTTTTTTTTTTTTTTTTTGTGTGTGTGTGTGTGTTGTTTTTGGGTCACACCCAGCAATGCTCAGGGCTTATTCCTGGCTCTGCACGCAGGTCAGCCGCGTGCAAGGCAAATACCTAACCAGCTCTGCTAACACTCCAGTCCTGTTTTTTTTATTTTCCAAAACATCTTAGAGGTAAACACTGTATCTCTTAGAGAAGTGAAAGCTGTCATGTAACAGAGCCACTTAACTACACGTTACCTTGGAATCATCGGCTCCTGCACCATTATGCCCATTTCTTTCAGCCCTACAATAAAAACCAGAGACTGATTTCCATTTTAATGTGATTTTTGGGGAAATCTAAAATTCAGGGAGTTAAGTATTTTATTATAATTTTAAAAACTGCTTTTGGGCAACTGGAGCGATGGTACAACAGGTAGGGCATTTGCCTTGCACACAGTCGACCTGGGTTCAATCCCCAGCATCCCCTATAGTGCCCTGAGCACTGGCCAGGAGTAATTCCTGAGTGCAGAGCCAGGAGTGTGACCTAAAAAAAAAAATTGCTCTTGACTGCTAAGTCTCTTTAGAATTAACTGATTCTGTGAACAACAAAATTCCACCTTCATTTTCCTCTGTAAGTTTCCTATCTTCTGATACTTTTGATATTCCGGAAGAAAATGATGTAACTTACTGCAAATAATCAAGGATGGTGAAGAAGGACACAGTCAAATTATGATGAACACTTTAAAAGGCTCATTAGTCTTCAATTTTCATTTGTTCTGACTCCGCAGTGTAAGCACATAAATGTAATTGCACTTCCAGAATTACCGTGAAGGAAGCACCCGAGTAACCACCAGCCAGGTCGGATGCCTGCAGGCCACAGGCTCCAGAAGCGTCCGTCAGACCCCTCTTCAGGCGACCCCCACGTGCCAGGGACAGGCACTCCTTAGCCTCCTCTGCAGGCTCGTCACGAATATACCCCTGAGAGACTTTCTCCATTCTTCAGGGGAAAAAACAACTCTCCGTTGGTTATAATTTTATCATTATAATTGGTTATAGGGCTGGAGCGATAGCACAGTGGGTAGGGCATTTGCCTTGTTCACGGCCAACCCGGGTTTGATTCCTCCGTCCCTCTAGGAGAGCCCGGCAAGCTACCAAGAGTATCCCGCCCACACAGCAGAGCCTGGCAAGCTCCCTGTGGTGTATTCCATATGCCAAAAACAGTAACAATAAGTCTCACAATGGAAATGTTACTGGTGCCCACTTGAGCAAATCTATGAACAGGAGGACAGTGCTACAGTGCTAATTGGTTATAATTTTACTTTTTAAAAAAAATTTTAATTTTATTATTATTATTATTATTTAGGTTTTTGGGCTACTGGCAGTGTTCAGAGCTTACTCCTAGCTCTGTGCTCAGAGCTTACTCCTGGGCAGGGCTCAGGGTGCCAGGGATTGCACCTGGGTCTGTTCATTGCAAGGTAAGCCCCTTCCCTGCTGTGCTAGTACCCCAAGTCCCTGTTTATTTTAGTGAAGCAAAATAGTTTTTGTTTTTTTGTTTTGTTTTGTTTTGTTTCGTGCCACACTGGTGGTGCTCAGGGGACCATATGGGATGCCAGGGATCGAACCTGCGTCAGTCATGTTCAAGGCAAGCACCCTAGCCTCTATACTCTCTGGCCCCTTTCCTCCCTTTTAAGCCCCAATATGCCACTGTAGCCATAGCAATGTTTGTATATCCATTCATCATTCTTTGATGGACACCTGAATTTTTTCAACCTTCCACCCATCAGAAATAATTGTGTGAAGGGGCTAGAGAATACAGCACTTGCTGGAAGGCACTTGCACGGCTTGCCACGTGTGCAGCTAACACGGGTTCCAACCCCGGCACCCCTCAGAGTCCCCTGGGCCCCTCCAGGAGAGATGCCTGAGTGCAGAGTCAGGAGTAAGCCCTGAGCACCACAACATGTGACCCCAACAAACAAACAAGCACAAAACCCGAAGGGGTGTGACAGGCTTCTCTTCATACACACCTATGAGAGAAGCGCTGGGTCCGGGAACAAGGACTGGGCCAGTGAGTGTGGGGCGCCGGAGATTTGAACCCATGGACACAGGGCTTGAAGGTGGCAAGTGTTCTAAGCCACTGTATGACACCAGCAGGCCTGGCAACTCACAGCCACTCCCAATTTGTGCTCAGGACTTGCTCCTGGAGGTCCACAGAGGTCATGCTAAATAAACCAGGGATGCAAGACTGCACTCACCCCAGTGAGCTGTAGATACCCGCTGGGAACGATCAAGAAAGCGGTTTTCTATTTCCACACCCTTGCCAATACTTGCTTTAATCTGTTACTTAATAGGTGTGAGTTCTAATCTGTTTCCCCTAAAACATCTTGCACACTCCCCTGTGCTTATTTGCATGCTCCGAAAAGCAATTATTCAAACTGTGCCCTTTCGCCCCAGATGGAGCGGGTTTGTCCTCTCCGGGTTTGCTCTCTGCCCACTCCAGATGAAACTCCCCCCCACCGCCCCGCCACCCACCCATGGCCACAGCTTCCAGAAGCAAAGTCCAGGTACGAGGGTTCAGGGACTAAGACTCCAGGCCACATGGTGGCAGCAACGCAGACGGGCCGGCCCATTCGCCATCCCAGGGTATTAAGGCCTTGATCCAGAGACTCCCAAATGAATTTCAAAATGGATTAGCTCCCTTCAGTGATGTCTCTGGACCCCAACCACTCACAATTTTAGAATCCAAAAGTGAGTGCGCAACCTCTCATAATATTCGTAACAAGCAATAGTAATTATCTAGCATCTGCCCCTGGCTGGCAGGCTTGAATCGTGGTGAGAAAATTAAAAATAATGGTGGTGGGAAAGTGTAATGGTGGTGGGATTGGTGTTGAAATATTGGATGTAATCAATTAATGTGAGCAACCTTATAAAAAATTTAAAAATTGTGTTCTTTTTAATTGTGCTATCTTTGTGGAAGTTAATTTTAATAAGACTCCTAATTGTTTTTTTGGAGACTTTTATGGCAGTTCTTTATATATTCTGGATATATATATATAAAATATATATATAATTGGTACCTTTAATATTTTACTTTACTTTAATATGGTACCAATATATTTATAGATTTTCCAAGAATGGATCTAGTGTTTTTACCCTTTAATGAAAAAAGGTTCTAAATTTCAGTATCATTTGACCATGTCAAACTTTGACTAGTATTTGCGACTTAAGAAATCATGCGGGGGGAGTTGGAGACTGGAGCAATAGCATAGCAGGAGGGTGTTGCAGGAGGGCGTTTGCTTTGCACGTGGCCAACCCAGGTTCGATTCCCAACATCCCACATGGTCGCCCAAGCATGACCAGGAGTAATTCCTGAGTGCAGAGCCAGGAGTGACCCCTGAAAATTTCTGGGTGTGACCCTAAAAGCATAAAAAAGAAAGAAAGAAAGAAAGAAAGAAAGAAAGAAAGAAAGAAATCATACTGGAGGGCTGGAGTGACAGTCTGGTGTGAAGGGCGCTGCCAAGTTTATCCCCTGACACCCCAGATGACCACGAGTCCCGCCAGGAGTGACCCCTGAGTATAGAGTCATGAGTAAGCAGTAAGCCCTAAGCACCACAAATGTGGCCCCAAATCAAAAAAATAAATCATTGCTGGGGCCAGAGAAATAGTACAAGTGCCTGCAACCAAGGTGGTTCATCCCCAGCACCTCATAATAAGCACAGCTGGGTGCGTTCCCACCACCCCCAGGGCTCAGAAAGTGGAGCAGCACAGCACTGCACGGCCCTAAACCAAAGAAGGCAGAAACAAAGCAAGCCAGGAAACCTTTCCCAGGGTTAGAGCACATGTCAGGGTCAGACCCTGGGCACTGCCAGGGTGACTCAATACCAAGTATGACCCCGAGCAACAACAAAAAACCTTCCTTAAAGCTGATGTCACAAAAATATTTTCCTACATTATCTTCTATAGAATTACACAACTAGACACTAAAAAGCGATCGTTTAGCCTTATCCAGTTAAGCTCGAGACTCACTTGAGCTGAGCCGAGGAGACGGTATGGCGGGGAGCGTGGCCAGGCCAGGGTCCAGGTCTGTAACCTCAGACAGTCCCCTCAGCACAGCCAGAAGTAAGCCCTGAGCACTGCCGCTGCATTTCTATACCTGGTATGAAGTTGGGGATTCCGTCCCCAATCAATCACCACTTACTGACTCCTCTACTCTTAAGCCTCCCCCCAGCTCAGCAGACTCTCTCTTCTCTCTCTCTCTGGACAGTATTTCCAACCCGAAAGGTTCTATTCACACCAAAGTTCCAAGTTCATCACGCATGCAAAGGAAGTAAAGCTGATGAGGGGACTTACACGGGACCCTGCGTTTTGTATGCTTTGTTTTTGAGTCACACCTAGGGGCTACTCCTGGCTCGGCACTCAGGAATCACTCCCGGCGGTGCTCATCGGGGACAGTATGCCGGGGATCAAACTGGGGTCGGCCGAATGCTAGGCAAACAGCCCACCCCCTGCCCTGCCTGTGACCCCAGACTCTGGATTTACAGGCTCACACGCAGCAGCCAACCTGACTCCTGCCAGCCGATGGACACCAGAGAAAAATCCCTGGGAGCAGTTTCCAGGGCTAATTTTAGCCCTCAGATCCTCTACGGAGCCTGCCTGCTTCCTCCTTACCATGTGGGAATAAACACGTAGGGGTTCCATTACAAAGTAATACAACACCAATTACAAACCCCACAGACTACACGATTCTATTTCTGAAGCTCAACATATTGTCTGCGTCTATTTGAGTATTTCTCAGTTACAACCATCACATTTCAAAATGAAGATCTTTCAAGACATATTCAGGTTGAGCAAAGTATTGAGAAATGTTTTATTAAAACGATACCCCCGAGCACCAATTGACAGAACTATGGGAAAGGGCTAATATAAAAGAATACAAAAGCAGTAGAGACCACCAGCTTATCCACTCCTCTTCGCTCTTCTCACGAAGTGACCTTTATTCGCTTGATGAGTTCATTCACAAAACTATTATTCTGTGCTACCACCTCGGCCTTCAGCTGCTTGAGCCTCTTCATGATGTTTTCTTCTGACATTTTGGTAAACGGCACTTGCTTCACCTTGTATAGAAACTCTTGGATAATTTTTTCACCTTGCTGGAAAACATATGAACATCTCCATTAGTCTCTGAAGTGATTTCCTTAAAGGTCACAAAATGTGGCAGTGACATTTTAACCCAAACACACCCCCTAATATTAAAGATTATTCTTATGCATATACAAACATGCACTGTACAGAATACAGAGCAGTCTCTCGGTTGGCCCTATGTCTCTTTATTCCATTTCACTTGGAAAGGTGGTCACAGAGCCGGAGAGATAATTCGGTGGGTAAGGTGCTGGCCTTGCACATGGTCAACCTGGGTTCGGTTCCCTGCACCCCGAATCTCCTGAGCACCAGGAACCCCTGAGCATCACCAGGTGGGGCCACCCAACCAAATAGAGAAATGAAATATTTACAGGGCCCCTGGGGTGGCTCCAGCAGCCTGAGGCCCTAAGTTTGACCCCTCTCGCCTTCCATGTGTGCCAGCTCATTTCCCAGCGGCTCCGCCATGAGACACCCCTCCCACCCCACCCCGGGCCACAACAGGTGAGAGACTTCCAGAGCCCACACTGTGCAAACACTGTCACTGAAACAACAGCCACCAAACATGGGGAGGGGTGGGGCCAGAGAGACAGCAAAGCGGGGAGGGCGCTTGCCTTGCACCAGGCTGACCCAGGTTCGACCCCCTACACCCCATACGGCCGCCTGAGCCCGACAAGAGCAATTCCTGAGCTCCTGAGCGCAGGGCCAGGAGTAAGCCCCGGGTCTGGGTGGGGCCCAAAAACAAACAAAATTTTAAATATGAGCAGCTGATGACAAAAGGGTAATTACTTTAGTAGTTCCCAAATCTGTCAATGTTTATCACTGATCCACAAATGTGGGGATTTGCCCCCAAGGATGAGATGGGCCCCTAGGTAAAGCAGCTCGGGTCTGTAAAACAGCCAAGGGTTTGCTAATGTGCGCAGAGAATCGATGACCCGCATGCGAGGGGCGTCTGCCAAGAAGGGTGGAGTAAGACTCCTTTAGGGCCTTTCAGATGTAGGGTGACCTGGGAGAAATAGAAGAGGGGACAGCCAGGCCCTACACTTGTAAGGGTGCCCGCTGAGGAGCCTCCTGGGAGCAGCCTCTGGTCCCCTTGTGCCCACTGCATGTTAATGTTTCTGGGGGGCAGCGACCCCCAAGCCCTGTGAGCCTCAGGCCACCCTAGGCTTGGCCAGCACTGCAGCTGTCTGTCTCATTCCCAGTCACCGACCCCCTATGGACGGAGTTCCAAAGTGCACTGGACACACAAACTTCACTTTTTTAGAGGAAAAAGAGAAATTAAGGTTTTTAATACTGTAAGGCACAAAACCACTCAAAACTCAACACTGGGGGAGGGGGGCGGGGGAGTTGGTTTGGGTCCTACCCGGTGATGTTCAGGGCTTACTCCTGGCTCTGCATTCAGGAATTACTCCTGGTGGCGCTGCGGGAACCATACAGGATGCCGGGGACTGAACCTGAACCTGGTGCGTGTAAGGTAAGCACCTTACTTGCTGTATCAGCTCTCCAGCCCCTGTGGAACTTTTTCTTTTACAGTCCAGTGACTCAAAGCCTAAGGAACATGGCACATGGGCAAATTCCTCAACCCACACCTGTCACCCAGAAAGTGAGGCTAATACTCCCCTCCCCAGCAGGCTGCTGTCCATTCGACTGCAGTGCTGCTTAGAACAGTGCCTGGCAAAGAACAAGTAAGCGTGGCCGGATCTAAATGCTCTTCCGCAAAGGAAGTAGGACTGCCGCCTGCTCTTCACATCGGGAACCATCGGTAATATACCTTAAGGTGAAAGGTAGATCAGATTTTAAAAGAGAAATTTTTCTCTGTGAAATAACAAGGGCACTTTTTCCAAGATAAAATCTGGATGGAATTACAAAGATTTAGTTTTCTCTTTAAGCTCTAGAAAAAAAATCTTTCAGCAAAGTCAGCTGCAATTAATATTATCGAAAAGAACCCAATTTCTGTTCTGACTGAGGCCGAGATCACATTCAGGAGCCCAGAGCACTGAGCGGGAGGAGACGCGGGAGGGAGCGTCCTCCCACTGCACAGACTAAACAGCCACTCAGGCCCCACAGGTGACGGCGTATCTGCTAGAGGGAAAAGCCACAGGCACCATTGATTTTGTTTTTGGGCCACACCCAGCACTGCTCGGGGGTCACTTCCTGGCTGTGCACCAGGAACCACTCCGGGAGGGGCTTTATGGGGTGCTGGGGCTTGCAAGGTCAACGCGCCCCCCTCCTCCCCCCACCCCCGCTGCCCTGTCTCTCTGGCCCAGGTGCCATCTATCTGAACAGTCAGCTTTCTTTCACCAACAGCAAGACTCTCAAATGAGGGCAGGTCAGTAAGAAGCAGTGCCGAACGCCCATGGGGCCCAGCAGGGCAGAGAGATGCCCTCAGTGCCCGGGAAGCAGAGCCACGCTCACCACCACCCAGGACGCCTGACTTAACAGCTGCTGCTCCCCCTGGACGCGAACAGCCCGGCCACAAGACACTCCTCACGTGTCAGGGGCCTCTGGTGCTCCATTACAGTCACTGCTCTTTTCTTCTGGGGGGACTGGGGTGTGAGGGGGATGGATTTGGGGCCACACCAAGTGCTGCTCAGGAGGTTACTGGCAACTCCTCTGCTTGAGAGACCAAGTGCGCCAAGGATCCACTTGGGGACATCTCACGACAGGGATCCATCCGGGGACATCTCACAGTGGGGATCCGGCCAGGAATCCGCCCCAGGACATCTGTGCAAGGCCAGCCAGCGCTTTGACTTCCATAGTATCTCTCCACTCTCATTCTTCTCATATTCCCAGCTGAGTCCAAACAACAAGGCGAGAGCAGGCGCCAGAGCACTTTACCCTTTTGGCAGCAGCCTAACAGAGCACTGAGGAAGCATGCAAGGCCGCTGGATTTGTTTCGGAGGGAACCATAGATGTACAAGGACATCACAGCTCCCCCAATCACTGATCTCAAACGGAGACCGCCGGCCTTCCCCACAACAAGGTCTGGCACTGAAGGCGTCCTCTGTTTCAAAGGACACCGGTGGGTACTTCACTATCCAAGAAATGTCAGGTGAAAGCCTGTAGCGAACACCAGAACCTTGGGGGGAACCTAGCACCCGGAGGCGACGGAGCGGGGACCCCCTCGGAGGCTAGCTGCCACACCTCTCTCTCCAGATGGCATCTCTTCGCTGCTGGTCCCATGTCGTCGTACTGCGGTTCTCCAATATTCTGAAACTCCTCGAGTTCCAGGGCCTTCTGCTTGGCGCACTCGATCACATGCCTCGGGAAGTTAGCAAGCTCTGCCACGTGAATCCCGAAACTTTGATCACAGACACCTAGAAAAAATTAGAGGGGAGGGGCAAGGTAGGAAGAAAGCAATTTATGGAAATGAAACATCCTCTCCCCGTTGCCAGGAAACTTAATTTTGTGTTATTTCAAATACATTAGCCAAATAATTCAAAGTAACTCAGATCAAGGAATTTTAATTAAGCCTCCAATGAAAAGTGATTATGCCTTGGCACACAGTGCCATATTTTATCCTTGACAAATGCAGGAAAAATAAAAATAGCAGAGGAAAAACTTGTAAATAACTTCTCAAAGGCCTAGATAAAGATCTGAATTTGAGAAAAATTAATCAACTCAGTATCTTTGAGGTTTTCTCATTGTGTAACAGAAGAACTAAATAAGTTCCTAGGGAGAGGGGGTAGAAAAACTGGACCATTAATTGGGAGGAGTATTTAATATCATATTCCATAATAATTTTCCAGAAATGCTGAATCCAGAAAACTGTGAGATAAATTCTGAGAAAAGTTATCTAACTGTTTCTACATAATCTCATTTTGATCCTAGGCTACCACAAACAAATTTGAAAGAACAATTTTTTTTTTTATCCTATTACTAGTAAATTTAGAGACAGGGTAGCTTAATTTCATAAATTACTTACAGAAAATAAGCTGGTAAAAGACATTCGCCCATACACTTAATATATTGTCACTGTCACTGTTCATCGATTTTGCTCGAGCGGGCCCAGTAACGTCTCCATTGGAGATTTTGTTACTGTTTCTGGCATATTGAATACGTCACGGGTAGTTTGCCAGGCTTTGCCGTGCGGGCGAGATACTCTCGGTAGCTTGCCGGGCTCTCCGAGAGGGGCGGAGGAATCGAACTCGGGCTGGCCATGTTGGCTGTGTGCAAGGCAAACGCCCTACCCACTTTGAATATATCAGATTTCCAAAAATACACATTTCTGAAAAATATTTGTTTTGGTTTAGCTACATATCCCATACATTCTAGAGCTAGATATTTTGCACATCTAAGAAGAGAAAGAACTATAGAAAAGAAGAATAGACGATACACATCCACAATGAAGGATGAACTCGTTTTTATATTCTGTTCTTCAGCTGCACTTTTTTTTATACTTTAAAACCATTTCTGAATCACACAAAACATGGCAATCTAAAAGCAAAACTTGAACTTCAGGCTGAAAGTTGGCATGAACATTCATCTGAAAGTACATATAGTCTGTGTCAATAAATACAGTAGCTCAAAATGATTTCCACTGAAGCATAACAAACTAAAAGGACCAAAAATAGTTTCTTATATGTACAATCAACTGATGCATGAAAACAGTCACAGAAAAACCAAAAAGCCAAAAATCAGAAAAATCTGAAAAAGGTATTCTGATGGCTGTTAAATTATATTTAAATTCTGAAAAAATTAACAAAATGCTACCTTCATAAACCCAATCATCTGTAATGCCAACAAGCACTTCCATATGTGATTACAACTAACCAGAAACCCTAGCTTGAAGTGAATCTCTTTATATAACTGTAGCACTGTTCTCCTGTTGTTCATCGATTTGCTTGAGCGGGCACCAGTAATATCTCCACTGTGAGACTTGCTAGTGTTTTTGGCATATCAAACACACCACGGGGAACTTGCCAGGCTCTGCCGTGAGGGCGGGATGTGGTTCCCTGAGTGAAAGCCTGAGTACAAAGCCAGGAGTAGCCCCTGAGCATTACTGGGTGTGACCCAAAAAGCAAAAAAAAAAAAAAAAAAAAAAAAAAAAATCAAAATCAGAAAGATCATATAGCAGGTAGGGTACTTGCCCTGTACATGTCTGACCTAGATTCTATCCCCAGAACTCCTTATATTTCCCCGATCCCTGCCAGGAGAGATCCCTAAGAAGTCCAGAACACAGCTGGGAGGAGCCCCCAAATCAATAATAATAATAACAATAATACAATCAAATAAGTCTTGAAAGTCTTTCACTATCTAGTAACTATCTGACAAAAACATACTGCCATGAAAGGCAGCACAAAACCTCTCCAGGATGAGGTTGCAGAGTGGAGACCTCTCTTTCCGTAGCTATGACAGCATGTGAGTTCTATTGCTGGCCACAGAAATACAGATGATGCACGTGCCCCTGGCCTCCAGACTGAACTCGGTAAAACACTCTAAATGTGCATGAATAGTCCGTGGGCACGCAGAGCGATGAGGTGGCAGGATGGGGGCAGAGCCCGCCAGTCACACCCACCTTTCTTCACCTGGTACAGCATGATCAGGGTCTCCTCGGTGGTGAGAGCCGTGACGTGGAGGTTGTTCACCGTTGGCACCTGACTGGCCAAGGCTGTGAGCTCGTGGAAGTGGGTCGCAAACATGCAGAATGCACCAATCTTGGTCGCAATGTACTCGGAGATGGCCCAGGCGAGCCCGAATCCATCGTAGGTCGAAGTTCCTCTTCCCAACTCGTCTATGATTATCAGAGAGTCTTTGGTCGCGGACCTGAAACAAGGTGGCATGAGAAATCTTCCCATGACATGGCACGTGGTGATGCCAAAGCAAAAGCAGTGGAAGAAATACTCCAAAGAGAATAGAGAAGACGTGCCACAGCACTGACAGGTCATCTTAACATACAAGACTCAACAGAGGAAAAACAAAATACAAAAAAACCCTAGTAAAAAAAGACGCATGAATACCAGCAATCAATGGAAGAGAAAACAAACACTGAACAATTATTTCTGAAAGTGCCCATCTCGCATGGTGGCACTGGAACGGGGCAGTTCCATCCCGGCTCCCAGTCTGCCCCTGATGCCAGAAGTCACACCCTCAACCTGCCCCTGTGCCATCTTGCCACACACAGCAGTGAAGAGTCCTGGCAGGCACCACACCGGAGAATTCTCTGGGCCCCATACCGAGCCGACATCACCAGGGTGCCCAGACGGAGCAGGTGCAGTCTCCCCACCTTCTCCAGACGGAATCCCGGCGACCATGAGCTTCTACAAGCATGGCTCCGGTATGTGGCTATCAGGACTATTCCTCCAAACTGCACGGCCGCATGACCTATCCTGATATGCACAGTAAGCAATGCAAAATAAATCATTAGCGTCTGCCCCTTTAGGGCAGACATGAATGGTGGTGGGAATAGCCGAGCAAAATATAATGCCCCAAACTAGAGAGAGAATATCTGAGCAACTGTCTGCTGTAGAGGCAGGGTAAGGACTGGGATGGAAGTGGAGGGGATAATGGGGATATTGCCATTGGGGGGAAAGTTTGCACTGGTAGAGGGATGGGTGATCGATCACTGTATAGCTGAATATCAACCATGAACGCTTTGTAACTATATCTCACGGTGGTTCAATAAAAAAAAAAATTAAAAATAAATAAAAGTTCCCATTTCAGGCCAGGGAGACAGCTCAAAGGGCTTAGTACATGCTTCTCATGTGGGAACCCAGGGTTCAAACCCTGGCCACACACGGCCCTCTGAACACTAATTTACTAATCTCACCAGCAGTAACCAGAGAATTTCCAGATAAAGCAGCTAATAGTCATTTCTAGCCAAATGAATCAAGGAGAAAAAGTTGGGGTTTGGGAGGGGTTGTTTTATAGCCACATTCGGCGGTGCTCAGGGTTTACTCCCGGCTCTGTGCTCAGGGATCACTCCTGGCAGGTTCGGGGGAACCATACGGGGCACCAAGATCGGTGTTGGCAGCATGCAAGAGCCCTACCCGTTGTACTACTGCTCTGCCCTGAATCAGTCAAAAATTTTTTAAAAATATCTCCCCAAATGAGGCTGGGACAAGGAGTGAGGAAAGGACACCAGTGCCACAGCCACCACTGCCAGACAGGCCCACGGGCACGTTCTCCTCTTAGCCCTAGCCACATGGGAAAAGGGGCTTCACATTTTTTTTTAATTTCAGCAAACCTAACAATCTTTTTTTGTTTTAGGGCAGACAGAGCAGAGGTTAATGATAGACAAAGCAAGGCAGCAAGGTCCGTCTTATTGCTCGTCTACTTCTTTTCCTGTCAATTCCCACAGACAACTTTTATTTCTTTACTCTTTGAAGCTAGGAATATTAACTTGTTGACTACTATACAGAAAATTATTTTTATGATTCCCTGTATACCCCAGTTTTGTAATGCACCAAGGATCCGCTGTATTTAAAAGTAGTTTTTAAAGTCAAAAGACTCGGGGGTATGGTGCCGCCAGCAGGTCAATCTGTACCTGTGAGGCAAGTGCATCAGCAGCCTGATGGCACCTTCAACTTTCAGATACCCCAAAATTGCTACTGTGCCTTTGGCCAGACCCCAAAAACATGGGGCAAAGTTTACCAAGAAAGTAAAAGGCCAAAAGTTAGGTATGTGGGAGACACACCCACAAACCACCTCCGACTCAGCTATATAATTGGAGGCATGGCCTCTCTGGTTCCTGATTGAACTGCTTAATGGCCATGATCCCAGAGACTCAGAAACAAATCTCGAAACCCAACGGCTTTTGGTAGAAATGTGTCCGGTCCCTGCAGTAGGTTACTGGTGCTGGGCCAACCCAGGTGGAAATAGGTTTCGTGCCTTGGGCTGTTCTCGCTGGCGGCCCAGTGGCTGCCATTCTCCAGAGGCCACTGGACAGTCAGGTTTGGGCCCGCAGGGATGAGACACACAGGGCCTCACAAGATGGGGATGGAGCCAGTCCTGTCCTCCCCACCCCAACGAGACCCCAAGTCATAAGCCCACGAATGGCCTCTCTGGCTCCTGATCAAGCTGCTTAACGGCCATGATCCCAGAGACTCAGAAACAAATCTCGAAACCCAGCGACTTTTGGCAGAAATGCATCCGGACCCCGCAGTAGGTTACTGTCTCCGGGCCACCCCAGCGGGTAAAGGGTGCTGTCCTTCTGCCTGCTTTCCCCTGGCGGGTCGGTGGCCGTCATCCTCAGACGCCATTGGACAGTCAGGTTTGGGCCCGCAGTGATGGAACTTGTTGGGCCTCAAGGGATGGGGGTGGAGTCGGGTCCTGTCCTCCCTGCCCCAATGAGACCCCAAGTCATCACCCACGAACGGCCTCTCTGACTCCTGATCAAGCTGCTTAACGGCCATGATCCCAGAGACTCAGAAACAAATCTCAAAACCCAGTGGCTTTTGGCAGAAATGCGTCCGGACCACACAGTACGTTACTGTTGCCAGGACACCCCAGGGGGGAAAGGGTGTTGACCCTCCACCTATTTCCCCCTGGCCGCTCGGTGGCCGTCATCCTCCAGAGGCCATTTAACAGTCGGGTTTGGGCCCACAGTGTTGAGACACAGGGGGCCTCACGGGATGGGGGTGGAGCCGGGCCTTTCCTTCTCAGAACCCAGCAGGTTTGGGCAGAAATCCCTCCAGATTTAAGTGTTAAAATTTAGGAATTTCAAAATCATGCAGCCACTACTGCAGCCACGCGACAGCATATGTTATTCATAACCAGCAATAGAACACAAATTGTCTACTATTGCCTTTTCAGCAGATCTGAGTGCTGGGATAAAATCTCAAATAATAATGGTAGGTCGGTATCAAAATATTGAATGTGATCAAACTAGAGAGAGAGTAATGTGGAAATCATCTGTCCCACAGGTAGGGGGAGGGTGTGGGATAGGGGTATACTGGGGTTGTTGGGGGTGGAGAATGGGCACTGGTGAAGGTACGGGTATTTCATTGTATGACCGAGACTTAGACCCGAAAGCTTTGTAACTGCTCTCATGGTGATTCAATAAATAAAATTATAAAAAATGAAAAAAAAGTAAAAAAAAAATAAAGTCAAAAGACTTCAGTAACTTACAAATAAAAAACAAGGGGCTGGAGACGTAGCACAGAGAATAAGATGCTTGCCTCGCACGCTCATAGGAAAACTATGCAACTGGATAAAGGTTCTCAATGTAAGTCCAAGGAGTGTGTCTTAAAGGATGGACATTTGTACCCATTCTCAAGAGATGGGAGGCCTCACCTGAGAATGGAGGCAGTCTCCAGCATTTCAGCCATGAACGTGGACACTCCTTTGAGCTGACTGTCGCCAGCCCCCACCCGGGCCAGGATGCAGTCCACAATGGACACCTCGGCAAAGGCACAAGGCACAAAACATCCAATCTGAGCCATGAGCACTATCAGCCCGGTCTGCCGAATATACGTGGACTTGCCTCCCATGTTGGGGCCTGCAAAACAATTGAATATTCATAAATACGAAACACAAAGAACAATCTAATAAGTCCCCTAAACTAGTATTTAATCTAAATACATCATAAAACTTTATGTCCTTCTCAAGTCTCTTTTCTTATTCACACATTGTTATAACTTTAATGTTTATTTTTGTATTTTATTATTGTTCCTAAATAACAGTGTCTCCACAAATGCACTGTAGTACTATCCTCCCGTTGTTCATCGATTTGCTCGAGCAAGGCACCAATAACATCTCACAACAAATTGTGAGACTTGTTACTGTTTTGGGCATATCGAATACATCACGGGTAGCTTGCCAGGCTCTGCTGTGTGGGCAAGATACTCTTGGTAGCTTGCCGGGCTCTCCGAGAGGGGTGGAGGAATCGAACCCGGGTTGGCCACGTGCAAGGCAAACATCCTGCCTGCTGTGCTATCGCTCCAGCCCTAACCACAAATGCATTAAATTTTATTTAAATGAAAGCATAAAATATTTTATGTAAATTACTTTAATATTCTTATATTCACCTGTCTTGACTACAGTGGTTTTATATGTTAATATATGCTTTTGCACAGTATTACACTTCATGGATGTAGCCACAGTTCATTTTTGCAATTGATGCAATTGATGTATATTTATTTAAACTATCGTGTTGTCACTTCAAGATAGATATACGACAATTTACTGTATACCTTAAGTAGTGTTATAATACCTCAAACATTAGGCGGAAAACTAAAATTGCTTAGATCATCGTCAATTTTTGTTTTCTAGAACTTGCTTAAGATCTCTCAAATAGTAAAAATCAATCAATCAATAAAGATCTCTCAAAACACTTTAACCGAATGCACCCGCACCCTCTGCTCTACTTTAATTCATCGACCCCCAGCAAGGCCTCAGGGAGCCCCAAAGCGGCTGAGGTCTGGCCCCCAGCTGTTTCAGCTGGAAGTCAAGAGCCCGATCCCTGGAAGGCCTGGCTCCAGGTGAGTTGTTCGGATTAAGGATTTATTTTTAAGTGCACTGAACTGAAACAGAACATTCACACAAGTACTGGAGCTTCTCCTAAGGTTCTCTCGGTTCTAAAGTCCCCTCTAAGTTGGCGCCAGAGGGATAGTACAGCAGTACAATTACACCGACCCAGGTTCCAGCCTCAGCATCCCAAATGGTCCTCCAAGCCGGCCAGGAGTGATCCCTGAGTGCAGAGCCAGGGGTAAGCCCTGGGTGCTGCTGGGTATGGTCCAAAAAAGCAAATAAATAAATAAATAAATAAATAAACAAAAACATTAATTCCCCTCTCAACTGGAGGAATGCTGATATAGAGTATACTCTCTCTCTCTCTCTATATATATATAAAAACTCATACTGTTGTTTGTACTCTCTCTCTATATATATATGTATATATGTATATATATAGAGATACATATACATACATATACACACACATATATGTATATACATATATACACATATATATGTATATATATGTATATATATATATAGAGAGAGAGAGAGTACAAACAACAGTATGAGTAATATATTCTCTTTCTAACTGCAAAGCTGAGGATTTTCTGCATCAATCCTAAATCTCCTCTTCGATATATATTTTTAATTTATACATATAAAATAAAACATGACTCCGCAAACCCCTGTGAACCAGAGTTTGTTTTTTTACCTGTGATGATGTGGAACATCTGTTTATCTTTTTCAAACTCAACATCATTAGGAATAAAGGCAACGTCATCTTGCACTTCCACACAAGCGTGTCTGGATGCTTTCAAAGTCACTCTGCCCTGTCCCTTCTCCAAAATCACGGGCCGGACGTAGGGGACAGGCGCTCCATTCGACACGTGGGCAAAGCTGACGACTGCGTCGAGCTGGGCCAGCACGTCATTGAAGATCTGCATTGGTTCCACATAGCCTGGCCAAGACAGAGGGTATGCGGGAGTCACACTGAACAACAAAGCCCAGCTCCAAACGGATTGGTTCTAGGAAAATCAGCAGAACTTTGCTCGAGCACAACGAACACCTAAGACTCCTGAGGTTAGCAGCCTCTGAACAAGATTTCTTCAAAACTACAGGGGTGGGAGGCAGTACAGGAGTAATGAGTGTGCCGTGCAATACAGCTGACCCAGGTTTGACCATGCACTGCCAAGAGTGCTCAGAACCAGGCGTGAGCTCTGAGCACTGTCGGCTGCGGCCCACCCCCCACACCATCTGACACAGGGCAGCAGACTGTCTCATATTAAATGGATCCTAATGGTCCTAATAGTGTCCACAGTTACAACCAACTCCAGCCCCTCGGCATCTGACTGTCCTCTTTAAGTTTCTCTTTGAATCTAGAAGATTTTTGCTACCACGATCCAACATTTTAAAAGAATTCAGGGCTTGGGGCTGGAGTGATAGTGCAGTAGGAGGGCATTTGCCTTGCACATGGCCAACCCGGGTTCGATCCCCGGCATCCCATACGGTCCCCCAGCACCGCCAGGAGTGATTCCTGAGTGCAGAGCCAGGGTTAAACCCCTGAGCATTGCCAAGGTGTTGCTCAGGGGAACCATGCGGTGATGGGTATACAACCTGGGCCGCCCTATTGCAAAGCATGCTCCAGCCTCAACATAGATATTTTTATCAACTACCACACAGGTGGGAGCCAGAGAGAAAGTGCACATAGCTAACCCCAGTTTGATCCCTCAGACCACATACGGTCCCCCAAGCACCACTGAGAGTGGCCCAACCCTTCCCCTGGGGGGTGGGGGGAGAAAACTACACAAAAACAGTAAAATGAAAACAAACACCACCCAGATAACACTAGCTCACACCCTAGAAATTAATCTGATCTGTCCTATCGTTGAGGGGGCGAGCTTGGACCAGCTGGTGACTTTCCAAAGGTTCAATGACAGCAACAGGCATCATCTTCCTGCTCCCCAGAATCACACACCCTGTGACGTCACCCGACAGAGTGTGACTCTTCCTACCACAAAACAGCTTCTGCTCAACTCCAGAGAGCCTGGAGGAAACAGTCGTGGTATATCACAAGGAAAAGCCTCCCCAAGTGTTTTCATACTTTTTTCTACTAACAAAATTCCAAACGTTTAATGCTGATTTTACCTGAAGAAATATTGACAATTTCTTTAACGATTGCATCCTGGGCATCCTCATACTCGGTTTTATTTTTTATGTACTCTTCATTGAGAGAAGTCAATTTACTGGAAATCAAGAAAAAGCCATTATGAAAAATACCGGCACTGGAGATAATGTGTACCAAATAAAACACAGCCAGAGTATCAAATAAAGTATCAAAACAATGATTACAATGAAAATATCAGTGTAAAATGTTCTACTCATTAGGAGCATAAAATTCATAAAATTCAGTGTAGTAATGTTTATTCTGGCATAACTCTTGCTTGCAACTGTTACTGCCTTGAGTAAAATTATGACCCACAACTTAAACACATTCATAATATCACAAGTTTCCCCCATTACTCTAGGATAACCGTCTGATTCTGAAGGATGTAGTGGTTTAGTTTGGGGGCCACATCTAGCAGGGCTCAGGGCTTACTCCTGGCTTTGCACTCAGAGATCATACCTGACCTTTGATCATAAGGGGTTATCAGGCCAGAGAGAGAGTACAGTGGGCAGGCCATGTGATCCCTGGCACCCCACGTGGTCCCCTGAGCGCTGCTAAGTGTGACCCAACTCCATCCTACCAACCCATCGCCCTGAACAGTGGGGAGGTGAGAGGGAATGAAAATCAAGCTTGAGGGGACAGAGCAATCATAGCCCAGCTGGGAAGGCGTTTGCCTTGCATGTGACCAACCTGGGTTCCATCCCTGGTATCCCATATGGTCCCCTGAGCATCACCAGGTGTGGCCCAAAATCTAACAAGCAAAAGGAAATCGGATGTGCCAGGGACAGTGGTGGAAAGTCACGGCACTTGGTGGGGTGGTGCAGAAACTTTTTATAGCAAGCCCATAAACGAACACTGTTGCAACCACTGCGGAAACCACAATATGAAACCTGTTTAAAGGAAAGAAAGCTCAGAAACTAGGAACCAGGTGGGGGGGAGTGGGCACTTCCCCCCTATGAGAAAGCCCTGCTAGACCCCCAGCATCAGGAAAAAAAATTTTTTGGGGGGGGTAACTCTATAACACTGTCACAAACCTGTTTGTAAATTTAACACCATTCTTCTGGATATCCACCGTACTGAAGTTTTTATTGTTACGAAGAACTTTTTCTTCCTTACAGGTTACACGAAAATAATATCCTAACTGGGCGCTGGAATCCAGTTTAATCTGCTTGCCAGCATCCAAGCCTTCATGGCCAGGGATGAGGCAGGGGAGGAAAGAAAAAAAGTATGTAAGAGACGCAGATGGGTATTTTTCAGTGTCAACGTTTAAAACAACAGAATCTAAATGGGAAATGCTCACAACTGTGAGTCGAGATTCCAAGCCAGCTTACTCCCCTCAACATCCACAAGCACCACAATCCCCAGACTTCCTCATTAACATCAACTACTAAAGTGGACACACCGTAAGGGTGTGTCCACCAGGGCTGCAAGCAGGAGGGGAGCTCAGAATACAGTGGGTAGACACAACATAACTACAGCCAACACACAGACCTTGCAAACGAAAGCTGGAGCCTGGCCACGATCTCTAGAAAAACTAGGATCTGTATTTTCTGTAATGGGCAGGAAACAGCACAAAGCAAGTAATGGCCATCAGCTAGATGACGCACCCAAGATCTTGTGGGGGTTTCTCTCTCATCATCTCATGCAGCCAAGAGAATTCTAGCCCACAGACCAGGACAGAGAACATCTACAAGCTTATTTGCTAAAGAATGACTCCCAAATGTTCACTTGACCAGGAGAGAGAATGGGTGGACAGACCCATGCAGAAATAAAACCAGCAGGGAATATTGCTCAGCCTAGGAAAAGACCACTGGGCAACACCTGAGTTTAGTTTCTGCGGAATGCAGACTGTCTCCACACTCTTACAGTCCCAAACACCTGACGTGAGGGATCACATGTACCTTAACATCCGAATAACCCGTCTTACCTAGCTCTCGAGCTGCACTTACTAACGTGGACTGCATCTTCTTTTCCAAGTCATCCATTATTTCTCTTAACTCGCTCAGATTAGGATCGAATGAAGGTTTCACAAGGAACTCATGGTTTTCCACCTAGAGACAAAATAGGCAAAATTTATGAATTACAGGTAAAATGAAAATTATACAAGCAGGGCCAAAACGACAGTACAGAGGTCAGGGGGTTTACTTTGTCCACAGTCGACCTGAGTTTGGGTTCAATCCCTGGCATCCCATGTGGTCCCCCGAGCACCACCAGGAGTAATTCCTGAATGCAGAGTCAAGACTAACCTCCGAGCATCACATAGGTGTGACGCAAAAAGCCAAAAATAAAGAAAGAAAGAAAAGAAAATCATAAATCAAGTACTTAATGGAATTCACCTAATATTGAACGGAATCACTTGCTTTCTTCAGCACACAGTCACGGAGTTGGAGAGAGCACGGGTTAAGGTGTTCATCTGGCATCCTGCTGACCCCTGTTCAAAGCCCAAGTACCACAGAAGAGCCCTCAAGAGCCAATAGGGGTCACTCAAACAGAGCCGGGAAGAGCCCCTGGGCACAGCAGGGTGTGCCCCCCCTCCGAAACCAAACCAAGCCCAAAACTAAAAACTCCATCTTGGGCCAGAGAGATAGCACATGTGCTAAGGTCTTACTCTGCCAGGAGTGGGGTCCTTTCCCCATGCCCCAAAGAATAGAAATTATGTGGAAAAAAAAAGAAGAAGTTTAACACAATGGAATACTATGCAGCTGTTAGGAAAGATGAAGTCATGAAATTTGCTTATAAGTACATGGACATGGAGAGTATTATGATAAGTGAAATGAGTCAGAAAGAGAGGGACAGACATAGAATGACTGCAGTCATTTGTGGAATATCAAATAACATAATAGGAGACTGACACCCAAGGACAGTAGAGGCAAGGGCCAGGAAGACTGCTCCTTGGTTGGAGGGCTGCCTCATGAGCTGGGGGAGAAGGCAGCTGGGATGGAGAAGGAACCACTAGTCAATGATGGTTGGAGGGATCAGTAGGGATGAGAGACGTGTGCTGAAAGTAGATAAAGGACCAAACGTAATGGCCTCTCAGTATCTGTACTGCAAACCATAATGCCCCTAAGTAGAGAGAGTATGCGAGAAATTGTCTGCCACAGAAGCAGGGGGAGGGTTGGAAAGCGGGGAGGGATACTGGGGACATTAGTCGTGGAAAACATACACTGGTGGAGGGATGGGTGTTCAATCACTGTATGACTGAAACTCAAACATGAAAGCTTTGTAACTGCATCTCACAATGATTTAAGAAAAAAAAAAAGTCTAGTGCTTCCAGCTAAAGACATGCAAGACACTAAGAGTATGACAGTAAGTCTTCCTGAATGACTGGCAGGATCCTAGGGCCTCAACATCAAGGAAAGCGACATTTAAATGTAGTGAAAGCACTCTTCCATGAAGCTAGATGAGTCTTTTCCTCATCGATGTTATGATAAATCAACAGTAAGCAAAAGGATGTCACAAGGAACTGCTCTATTTTTCTTTAACTATTTCATGAAACAATATTTGAATCTTTCTTTCTTTCTTTCTTTCTTTCTTTCTTTCTTTCTTTCTTTCTTTCTTTCGTTCGTCACACCCAGTGATGCCCAGGGGTTACTCCTGACTCTGGACTCAGGAATTACTCCTGGCAGTGCTCAGGGGACCAACCATATGGGATGCTGGGACTTGAACCTGTGTCAGGTAGGGGTAAGGTAAACGCCCTACCCGCTGTGCTATTGCTCCAGCCCCTGAAACATTTTTCTTAAACAAACCTAGAAATGTTCAACACTCAGTATCTTTAACAAATGTACACACTTGCTCAAACAAAAGAATTGGTTTCAAAATAGCACTGGCTCTAATTAAAAAAAGAAAAAAAGACATGGGGGCCTAGAGTGATAGCACAGCAGATGGGGCGTTTGCCTTGCATGCGGCCGACCCAGGTTCAATTCCCAGCATCCCATATGCTCCCCTGAGCACCACCAGGAGTAATTCCTGAGTGCAGAGCCAGGAGTAACCCCTGTGCATTACCGGGTGTGACCCCCCCCAAAAAAAGACGATTTTCAGGGGGCCAGAGTGAGTACAGCCATAGTTCAGGGTGCTTGCCTTCCACATGGCTGGCACGGGTTCAATCCCCGGCATTCCGTATGATCCCCTGAATACTGCCAGGAGTAATCTGGAGTGTAGACTCAGGAGTAAGACCTGATGCATTGCTGGATGTGGCCCCCAAGTCAAGCAAGTATATAATAGACAATATTCTTGTTTTCTTTCCACTGCCTCCCCTGGGGCCATGCCCAGCAGGTCAAAACTGGGGGCTCAGAGGTACTGGACCAGGCAAGGAATATGCTCGGGTATGGCACTTTTAAGCCAGGAGTGGAGTGTAAAAGCAGGAGCAAGCCTATCAAGTGTGCCCCCCACAACCCCTAAAAATTTAGCCAAAGTACTTGGAGTATGCTTTAAATTATGAACTTTATTTTCAGATTTTTGCAGTTGTTTTTGTTTTGGGATCTCATCCAGCAGTGCTCAGGGGTTACTCCTGGCTCTGCACTCAGGAATTACTCCTAGCGGTGCTCCAGGGACCATATGCGATGCCAGGGATCGAACCCGGGCTGGCAGCGTGCAAGGTAAATGCCTGACTCACTGTGCTATGGCTCCAACCCCGTTTAGCTAAATTCTTGCCAATAATAATGAGCAGAAACCATAATGATAAATCCATCTCATCTACAATGCCAAAAACATACACAAAAACACGTACAATCCAAGTCTTGGCAAGGCATACCCCCTCACTGCCACAGGCGCCTTACAGAGACACTGCAACAGCGACCCGGAGCACACGGCCAGCTGCACCCCAAGAACAAAACAAAAGCGGTGGTGAGAGATTAACTGCTTACTGAAGATGTCGAACAACTGCAAAGAAGAAGCTGAAAGGAACTAAGTCAGTGAGTCACGGCCTCTGCAGGAGAAGACAATGCCTCCCGGGCCTGTGACAGGGTGAGTCACACCTCCAGGAGCCAGAACTGAACCCACAGACTGCTTAAGTCACTACTGTTTATCTTTTCTGCGGATCTTCCTTCTGTGGCTGTAAAATCTTTGCCCTCAGTTAGAATCTGGAAAGCTCGGGGCAGGTGACATTTTGGGTCAGGGCGGGGGAATGGCTCAGTGGTAGGGTGCCCTGATAAGGATGAGGGCACAGCTCTCTGGCTAGGGGACAGCACTCACTTAAGGCCCAGAGCACGGCTAAAGACAAGGTCCCGAGAGCGCAATGACAGTGAGGCCACAGCAAGGAAACAACAGTTCCTTGGCCCGAGAAGCACCAAGCAAGTGCAGTCACTTCTCTCAAGAATTCCATGTTTCGGGGCTAGAGCGATAGCACAGCAGGTAGGGAGTTTGCCTTGCACACGACTGACTTGGGTTCAATTCCCAGCATCCCATATGCTCCCCCGAGCACCGCCAGGAGTGATTCCTGAGTGAACAGCCAGGAATAACCCCTGTGCATCACCGGGTGTTAGCCAAAAAGCAAAAAAAAAAGAATTCCATGTTTCTCTCATGGATCAAAAACCAGTAAGCACAGACAATGTGGGTATAACAAAATAAGCTTTATGGGATGGACATGTGGAGAACTGGAGAACTCTGCAACTAGAAATGGGGGGCAGGGGGTACACACAGCCTCAATTACCTGAAGAACCCTCACAAACACACACGACAACTGAAAATGAGTAAGACGCAAGCCTCACACAGGGCCAACCCAGGTTTGCTCCCCGCCACCCCTGTGGCCCCCTGCATCCTGCTAGGAGCAGTCCCTGAGCACGGAGCCAGGAGCGAACCCTGAGAACAGCTGGGTGGGGCCCAACAACTGACAATTAAAAACTTAGACAAGCGACAAACCTAGGAACAAATCGTAACGGGAATGAAATGCTTCCCACTAAGTAAGAAATGACGCCTCCTACCACTCAGGGATGGGACTGGAGCGAGTACAGCGAGAAGGCACTTGCCCGCACACGGCCACTGCCGACCAGGGTTCGATGCCCGGCTGGGTTTGATCCCCCAAGCACCGCCAAGAGGAATTCCTGAGTGGAGAGCCAGGAGGAACCCTTAGCATCACTTGGTGTGGCCCTCCAAAAACCAAAAAGAACAAACAAAAAAAAACCACAAATAAATCTTATGAATATATGCAACTAGGCGGCACAGAAGGAAAAGTGTGTTCCTCAATGCGTGGACCAGAAAGTACAGGAAGTACGGCGCCTGCCTCGTGCGGTGACCTTAGTTCCATTCCTGACACATTCATGGTCCCCCAGGCACCACCAGGAGGAACTCCTGAGTGCAGAGCCTGGAGGAAGCGCTGAGCAATGCCAGGTGTGGCCCCAGAACAAACAAAAATAAAAATAATTTTAAAAATTAAAATTTTTTGTGACTGAATCTTTCTCGCCGTTGGGACGGGGTACTCTCCCTCACCTCCCTTGTACTTCCAGAAGCCTCAGCAGTCATCTACACCCCAAAGCAGCCACCCAACTGAAAAGCTACTCCAGCCTTACCATTCCGATAAAAATACTGAATGCGCTGAACAAACGCCAGAACCTCTTAGCACCTGTATTGCAACCATAATGCACAAAAAGAAAAGGAGAGAGAGAGCAAGAAGAAAAGTGCCTCCCATAGAGGGAGGCTGGGGGTGGGGAGGTTTGAGGGAGGGAGGGAGGGAGGAAGGGAGGGAGGGAGGGAGGAAGGGAGGGAGGGAGGGAGAAGCAGCGGATTCTTTACAAAAAAAATATATATATGACAAGAAGGAAGTATGAGGTGATACACAAATTATTTTAAAACAGAATCTAAAAATACAGTAGTGCTTTTAAAAGTAATAAGCAATCAGTAAGAACAACTTTTGGCAACAGAAAAACTCAAGAAATTATTTCCCAGGAAAAGGGCCCAGTACCCATCATATGGAACTCTTACCAACTCAACCCAAAGACAAAGAGGACAATTCAAACATTGGCCAGCCCTCAACACACGTTTTTCTGAGATGACATGCAAAAAAACGTCAAATGTGGCAAATGTAAGGACATCAAGAGCCAGCAGAGAAACACAAATT